ATTGAAAAAAACAATTATTTTGCTTTGCTAGGTTGTGACAGTGCACTGCAACACATTTGATCTAATTAATTTTAGTCTCATTTATTTGTATTTATCATATTTATATATGTTTAGCAGCTTGGGGAAGTGCGCTCTAAAATATTTGTTGATCTTGTTTATTGGTATTTATTATTTTGATATTTATTTTTGTATTGGTTTTTCAGTTGAATTATACGTTCAGGGTAATCAACAGTTAAAAAGATACTGTTCAAATTATTATTTGTATTTGTTTTAAAGTCAATGAATAATCGTATTTAATAATCGTGATATCAATTATTGACCCAAATAATCGTGATTATGATTTTTGCCATAATCGCACAGGCCTACACTGACTATATAAGATCCTAGAGTTAGTCAAATTGAACAAAAAATTGTTAAAATGAATGTAAAGGCAAAACAATGTATTAGATATGTACATATTTGGTGATGTTTGTGCTAATGTAGTCATCTTCACACTGCTCTGAACATGGGCCGGTCACTTTTGCAATCATGTTTCCATACTGTAAAACAGTCCCATCAATGTGATGCCTGTTAACTATGAAATCTCTTAATGCACAAGCTTGAATTTTTCTCTGCAAGTGCAATACACTTGTAATCACACTAATTAGTTTTTATTCAGTTCAAGTGGGCAGGAAAATTAAAGTCTATTTCAAATTGCCTTTCTTTCATGGTTGATGGAGTGATTTTTGTACGAATGGAATATTGATACATGGCTTTCACCGACTGTAATACTGAAGTCAATGTGGCGTAAAGAAGTGTTTCTCTAACTTCTGCATATTTGTGCAATTTAGTTTTTTCCAAGTCGTGTTGGTTGAGTTATTCTCAGATCCATAATTTCCTTTAACATTTTTTCTGTTCTGTTTCTCTCAGTGGTCGCAGACTCACCGCCCAGGGAACCAGAGATCTGGATAGAATCGCCGGCCAGGTGAGAAACAAACCTGTCTTTACTCAATAAGTTGACACACAAGCAACTCGATCATTTCAGTACTTGGATTTAGGAACGTCTGAGCAAAAAATACATCGATTTTGATCAAAGTATCATATAAAAAAACATATAAATTAGTAATAAATGCTACTGCAGCAATGTACCAAAAACCATACGAATGTGTTGCTTACCATTTGAATGTACTCATTCATCGTATCATGTCATTCATATTTATCATGGGGCACTCAATGCGTATGGTACACACGGCATAGCCTGATGGACCACCACTGCAAATGGTAGCAGTGCAGTAACTGGTTGTAAAAGCCATTTTTCAATGTATTTATCGCACAGGGAAATATCAGTGTGGCATCTGAAAGGGTCCAATCCATTTACTGATCTCTATGAATACTATGAGAGATATCTGCATTGAAGATGTTCTACACTTCATCTCTCTTCAAATCCTTCCATGAATTTTAATTGTCTTGTACTTGTTTTATTAAAAGAAACAGATGTCCTATTTCTCCCCCACTGCTTTGCTTGTGCTACAACTTAGTCACCGTACAAACTGAGCCACACTAAGGCCGATACAGCATGTTCAAGAGTGACCTAGGTCTGTAAAGAGTTGTGTAGCCAGATTGTGGCCTTAATGTTTTATCATTGTTGCAGAAACAGCCGTTTCATAGCAGCAGAGCTCTGTGTTGTAGTGACGAAGAGTTTTCCTCTGGCAGTCATAAACAATCGTGGTGCCTGAGAATGTAATCCTTCTGGCCCTTTTAACTAGAGCCCCTACTTGTTTCCTACAGTTTTACTAATGGAAATAACAAAGGTGTTTACTTCCCACTGCTTTTAGTGGTTACCATTTGTCCTTACCTACTGCAAGGATTTAAATTCTGCAGTACCTGGCTCACAGAAGTGACTATCATCGCTGCGTCATGCTGGCAAGGCAGAGGTTGTTTTTTTTGTACGACACATTCTGGCATTTGTGTGGCGTTCAGAGGCACTCGGGGTGGTGCCTTAAGCGCTTGTGATCACAGAAATGCCATCCCTTTGCCTTGATGTGACACCTTGTCTGCTGCGGAGGACACGGTCCCAGTGTCACTTCAGCATGCAAGTCTCTTTCCAAACACTTGTCCTTAGGCACATTTTGCTCTGCCAGCACAGGGAGTTATGTGTCTTGTGTGGCACACTACTGGCATGTTTTGTTTTGCTTCACTAAAAAAAACAAATCACAGTTGGGCCTTGTCAAAAATGGAGAGAGGCAGCAGTGTTGTGATAATCCAAGGGTAAAGCGGGTAAACATGTGGAGGGAATTTCATGCTTGGCAAGTCCGCCGTATGGCACCAGTTTTCTCCTTGTTTACCCATGCTAATGAGCAGATGAGCAGACCCAGCCCCCCCATACCTGCTGCACCAAACTGACGCAAAGCATGTTGCCGTATGTCTGCTACCGCCTCGCAAATCCTCGTGTTGTAATTTCTTAAGGCCTTTTTTTAGATTGCTTTTCCTTTGCAAGCGAGGTTTCTGCCTTGTACTCTCATTAGACTATTCATGGTGTTTTTGGCAGCAACCGAAACACAAAACTCTTTCTCCTCCAAACTGTGTTTACTCAAGTCCCCATGAAATTGCATTTTGATAGCATCTTACTTCCATAAGTTCGCATTTCCTATTCAAACACTATTGTGCAGCGTCTTAGGAATAGAAATGTACAAGTTAAGCGAATAGAATATTAAGCACTTGGGAAGTTTCATTTGATCACAATTGATATAAATGACTTTCAATATGTTGGCTCATTTGTGCCATAAATCGCAGCATGATGAAACCATTAACATGCCATTTTGTCCACAGCAAGTCATTTGATTTCATTTTCAAGACAACACAAGTTCCTAAAGGGACTGCGACACCTCGTCTGCTCCTGGACTCACTTTATGAATTGACCTCATGATGTTTTTGTTTGTTTCCCCACAGGTCGCAGCTGCCAACAAGAAAACAATAGTTCAATAAATCTTTTTTGGAAAAAGTCAAACACTGTGTCCTCGTTATTTTACCTTGTATGAAGATGAAACATTAACGGGGTGCGCAGTAAGTGCTTACCTTGTCTGAGTAAGAAATTGCACGAATGAGTCTTTGAGCTTAAACTTCACTGCTGTTCAAATTACACCAACTTTATCGGCACGGTAGAGAACAGTTATAAGGACGTGAAGGTTGACCTGATCAGATATCTTCTGCAAACCTGGACTGAGCTGGTTTGAGGAAATCAAGCCCCTGCATAAAATCAATGTTTTTTCGGTTACCTGGTTTTTAATGTAATTCGGTTTGCAAAGGACCATTGGTTGTTTCATAAGCTGTGACCATTAGCAGCAACTACAGCGTGCGGTCATTAAGCCGTTTGAAAAGGCTTCCCAGGAGCTGCTCCATTAGTAATCAAATACATGTTGTGGCCGAACACTCGCTTCTATACAATCTCTTTGTTGTATAATCTTTTCCTTCCCCTGCCATTGTGTTCATGTATCAGATGCAGTACAGATTACTCTGTGACAACTAAAGGAGATTGTTCAGTTAACAGCAGGTGATTACATTTCCATAAGCCACTCAGTTGACCATTTTTGAAGCATGTTGGGGATGATGTCATGTTTAAACATTTTCATTTAGTGCCACAGTGCCACCTAGAGACTGGAAGGGGCAGCTTCAGTTTCTACAACTAATTTTACAATATTAATGGCATTATAAAAATGTGCAATATACACCATCGCTCCCAAGATAACGGCTATGTTTGGATGGTTCAGTAAAATTCCAACTAGTCTGTGTGGCTTATGGTTACTTAAAGCAGGCCTTTACTTCTACACTGAAAATACTTCACTATAATTAAATGTATTGTCAACTAATTTCACATAACTGTATTTGTTGAGTTGACATCAATACATTTAATCTAATATTTTAACTTAATTGTATTGCTTTCAACTAACCTATTACAGTTATGTGAAATCTGTTGACAATACATTTAATTAGTCACTGTTTCAGTGTACCTCAGTTGTGCCTAATTTCTCATTAAAGGTCAAATATAGAATTGTCCTTATAGTTGACTCTACAAATGGGTCTTTTCTGACGTGACCTTCAAAAAAACGTTTCCCGTTGGCTCGAGTTGATGCAGTTTCTTGCGCTTTTTATGATAGATTTGTGTACTCTTACCTAAACGTCAATCAGTGAGCGCACTGGACTGATTTAATTTGGCGGTGCTTCTGAAATCCTGCAGAGGGTGCCAAAGCCTATAGAATGTCACGGCTATCCATGAACTTTGCGGTGATTGCCTCTGAGGTGGCTACTCGTGTACTAAAGCAGTAGCACTTGTATAATGGCACCAATTATTTTTGAAAAGGCAGTAATTATAATGTCATGCCATATTTCTAAAAGCCTGACACTTAAAGAGTTGCATTTGCGTGCCATACAGTAAGTATACTTGATTTCAGCCTTTTCTAAATGTGTTTAGCTCTAACATGTTTTATACAACACTCAGTGTGTTTATGGTTACAACATCAGGAGCTTTTCACAGCACTGTAAAATGTCGGGAATGTAAAAAAAATCCAATCTGTTTTTTCTCCTTTTCAATTTGGTCCAGTGGAGCTTCATGTGCTGGGTTTTCTCCCGTTGCTCTGCTCGCCTCGAGGCAGCACAACTACAAGCACAACCAGATGAGAAGAGAGGGGAACAGTGCCGTGTTCACCGTATAACTGTGTCCCCTCAGAGATAATACAGATTGTTTTTATAATGTTGACTCAATTCATGTCCAGATTTGAAGAACAATAACCAGAAGGCATTGTTTTCCGACAGAGCTGAGCTGTTGTACACATCCTGCTGAGATCAGTGTGTGTGTGTGAGAGAGAGCTTACACTTTGTCCTGTGTTTGTGAGATATCGTGTGTTGCAGATCCCTGGACAATGAGCCTGCTGTGTGTGTGTCAGTCTGTCATCCAGTGTGTGTGTAGAGTACACACACAGCCCGTATAATACAGTGGTGCACTCCATCCAACTGAGCGCCCGTCTGTCTCTTTTTAAAATGTCAATCAGCATAAAGTCTCCATCAATTATTCTGCACGTCTCTCAGGAAATATTAATTTAGTCTTTTTATACACCCCCTCTCACTCATCTCTGTCCTGTCAGCCCCTCTCCTTTTTATTTGACTACCAGCTGTTGCTGAACACCTGAACCCATCGTCTCACCCTCCCCTGGCCCATCCCTCTCTCCCTCCCCCTTTCTCTCCTATTGATGATCCCTCTTTTTTTGTCTACCCTGTCATTTGGAAGAGAGAGACGGATAAACATGTCCTTGAGTGGTAAGACAGAAATGTGAGGAATCCACCAGAAGTCTGCCATGTTTGTTCACTGGCTTCTGTTGGGCTGCAAGTGTGTGCATGCTCTCTCGTGTTTGTGTGTGTGTTCTCGCTGCATCCGTATTTTGTGTTAATGTCATTTCAGCTCCCGTCAGTCAACTGGTTTGAGCACCGATTTGTCATTGTCTGCTGGGTAATTATCAGCAGGCTTCAATACGGCAATTACTGCTGGAACAATTACCACCTCAACAAATGCACATCCAAGGTGTGTGTGTGTGTGTGTGTGTGTGTGTGTGTGTGTGTGTGTGTGTGTGTGTGTGTGTGTGTGTGTGTGTGTGTGTGTGTGTGTGTGTGTGTGTGTGTGTGTGTGTGTGTGTGTGTGTGTGTGTGTGTGTGTGTGTGTGTGTGTGTGTGTGTGTGTGTGTGTGTGTGTGCACCTAACCTAACCATTCACCCAATTCTTTGGCAGCTCAGCTTGATCAGACTGAGAATGGATGCAGTCCTTCCTCTCACCTCCTCAAGGCTGGAAACAGCAGATAACTAAGACATGTCTCTGCTGCACAAGTCTCCCTTAAATAGAACCACTATCAGGAGAGCAGCCACACACACACACACACACACAGACACACACATATGCATTGTCAACCCACAGCTTCATGCCCTCAGGCGTGTTATCCCCAGAAGACAAGACATACCTCAGAAAGTTTCCCAGCATTCCCAGTTTCTGGCGAATTTAGTTAACCGAGTTTTCTTGGGAAAGTTGGCACAGATCCCATAGTGTGTGCTTCTGGCTCAGTGGAGATAACATCAAGCCTTCCTGTTGCACAGCACAATGCTTTTCTCATAAACCACATTGCTTTGTTTTATCAAAAGCCTGATCCTTTGTGACTATTCAGTTGTAGACTTTAAAATCCTCAGCCACCAATTCAGTTACGAGTAGATTCATTTGTTTTCCCGATCATGGTTAGTTTGGATATTAAGTTTTGTCCTTTGTCTGCAGTAAAAGCTATGCCTAAACCTAATCAGTGTTTTAAGTACAGTTACTCAAGTACTGTGTTTGGGTACAATTTTGAGGGACGTGTACATGAGTATTTAAATTGTTCTGAACTTTGTACTTCCATCTGACTACAATTTAAAGTTTAATTGTGTACTTTTACTCCAATACAATTATTACAGGAGACCACAGGCCTGTTGCTCTGACTTCACACGTCATGAAGATCTTTGAGAGACTGATTCTGCAGCACCTCAAACCCCTCGTGTGTGACTCCATGGACCCTCTACAGTTTGCCTACCAGGAAAACATAGGTGTGTAGAGGATGCTATCACCTACATGCTCCACAGAGCCTACACACAGCTGGAGGAGCCGCACAGCTCACTAATAATAATAACAATAGCTTGCATTTATATAGCGCCTTTCAAGGGACCCAAGGTCGCTTTACAAGTAATAGGGCAAAAACAAACATAACAAAACAAAAGTCAGACAGACAAAACAACAGATCGATTAGGGGCCGAAAGCCTTGGCAAACAGATGGGACTTGAGGGCCCTTTTGAAGGCGTCAAGTGTGGGGATGTTGCGAATCTCCGCAGGGAGAGCGTTCCAGAGGGTGGGGGCTGCCACACTGTAGGCTCTGTCCCCGAAGGTTCGCAGTTTGGTGCGGGGGGTGGTAAGCAGGCCAGAGTCTGAGGACCGCAGGTTCCGGGGTGGGGCATGTGGGTGAAGGATGTCCGATAGGCACTGGGGGGCAAGGGCATGGAGGGACTTGTAGGTAAGGAGGAGTACTTTGTACGATATACGGGACTTGACCGGCAACCAGTGTAGGTGGATGAGGGTGGGAGTGATGTGCTGCCACGGCTTTGTGTGTGTGAGTACCCTAGCAGCACAGTTTTGGACATACTGGAGCCTGTCCAGGGTTTTTTTGGGAACTAAGAATTCTGTTCTTCGACTTCTCCAGCGCCTTCAACACGATCCAGCCACATCTGCTCGCTGAGAAGCTGTCAGTGATGCAGGTGGATCACAGCATGGTGGCCTGTAACACAGACTACCTCACCAGCAGACCTCAGTATGTCAGACTGCAGGGCAGCGTGTCTGATGTGCTGCTGAGCAACACCGGAGCCCCTCAAGGAACTGTGCTGTCACCATTCCTGTTCACCCTCTACACCTCCGACTTCCGCTTCAACTCCGGCTCATGCCACCTACAGAAGTTCTCTGACGACTCTTCCATTGTCAGCTGCATCACAGATGACAATGAGGAGGAGTACAGGGCCCTGGTTGAGAACTTCGTAGGCTGGTGTGACAACAATCACCTCCAGCTCAACATCAGCAAGACTAAGGAGCTGGTGGTGGACTTCAGGCGGAGCAGGAAGAGGCCTCTGACCCCCACCACCATCAGGGGGAAGGATGTGGAGGTGGTGCACAGCTACAAGTTCCTGGGAGTGCACTTAAACAATAAACTGGACTGGTCAGACAACACTGATGCTCTCTTCAGGAAGGGACAGAGCAAGCTGTTCTTCCTGAGGAGGCTCAGGTCATTCAATGTGTGCACGAGGCTGCTGCAGATGTTCTACCAGTCTGTGGTGGCCAGTGTGCTATTCTTTGCCGTGGTGTGCTGGGGTGGAAACACAAACACTAGGGACACTGGCAGGCTGAACAAGCTCGTGAGGAAGGCTAGCTCTGTAGTGGGAGTACAACTGGACAATCTGGAGGCGGTGGCAGAGGGGAGGACGAGGAGGAAGCTTGACAGCATCCTAGAGAACCCCTCTCACCCACTCCATGCAGAGCTAGTGAAGATGAGGAATACGTTCAGCCACAGACTCATCCCTCCACGACACAGCACCAAGCGCCTCGGACAGTCCTTTGTGCCTGTAGCCATCAGGCTGCACAACAAGGGGTCAATAATGAAAAAGAAATAAAATAAAATCACTGGACATACATATACACTGTTTCCACAACCCATGTTAATATATTAGTAGTAGATCAAATATGTTATAGATATGTCACTATATGTACAGATGTCCATTTTCACTTTTCACTTGTAACTCATTTCGTACTTCATAACTTAGATGACCAAATATGTATATATGCTGACAGTTATGTTGCTCTTATTTTTACTCATCTCCTATTTCATAGTCTTTTATTATTATTATCATTATTATTTTAGTTTTTTTTCTTTTTCTTTTTTCTTGATTTTCTTTTTTCTTTTATTAATCTGTGTGAATCTTTGCTGTCCTGTTTTTTCACGCTTACCCTGTTGCTGCTTTGTACAACTGAATTTAATTAATAAAGGTCCATCTTATCTTATCTTATCTTATCTTAAGTATCTGTATTACTTTGCAGAATTGGATCAATGATGTGAAATATAATTAATACTAAAAAATACTTTAGTTACTCCTGTAGCAAATCCACAAGTTACCTTGCAGTATACAAGTGATTAAAATGAGCTGCCCTTTTACCAGATTGAATAACACTTAAATGCATCAATAATTAAACAGAAAACATATTCCACTATCATATTCTGAAATGGGCCAATCTGATGAATAAGTACTTTTAATTTTGGCACTTATTTTGATGCTAATACTTGTACTTTTGCTTAAAGGTGGGGTAGGTAATTTTGGAGAAACCAGCTCGAGATCTCTAGAATTTGAAAATACACAGCCGGAAAAAATCTGCCACTTCCTTACAGAGCCCCTCCTCCAACACACACGAACGCGCACATGACCAATGAGGGCACAAGATAAGTTTGTGCACAGATGGAAGGCTGACAGGCAGGTAGGCCATCCAGTTATTTTAGCCGGGCCGGCTAAAATGATTGGTTGTGCTTTTTACAGTACTACGGCTTCCACAGATGACATTTTTTTATGGATTTTTTGTCAAAGCACTTAAGATATTCATTGCTATCGGGATGTTAAGAGCATTCCATGGAATATAACAAAAAGTGTATCTCGAGCCGGTTTCTCAAACTTACCTACCCCACCTTTAAGTAATATTTTGATTGGAGGACTTTTACTTGTAACAGAGAAGTCCTACACTCATTAAGTACCACCTCTGGCCTTAATTAAGTCTTTCTGTACACGCCAGTGGTTAAAGCAACACAGCAGATGCGATGTCGAGGTCTCATATGGCGGTGTGTGTTGATGCGATGTGGCGAGGGTCAGCATAGTCTGCAAAAGTGTGTTTATAGAAATTAGTCTGAGGCCCACAGGTCAGCGCTGTGTAAGCAGAGAGCTGCGCCTCTGCATCCGAAGTCTGTTAGCGAGAAAGCTCCTCATCTACGAGAAGCTGGGTTTACACACTTATCCGTCCCAGTGGGTGTGTAAGAGCTGATTGATGGATGTGTTTGTTTTGGTGTGTGTGGAAGAAAGAATACGTTTGACCTTGTTGACTTCCTGGATAATTTAGAGGCTTTCATATACATCTGTCCACTGTATGTGTGTTGCTGTTCTTCTGTGTTCTGTCAGCGCTAATCCCTCATCCAGTGTTTGGCCGGAGAGCAGGTGGTGTACACAAGCAGCGCGCCTCTCCGCCTGCCTGGCACCACAGGGCACCGAAGCACTGCCCCACACAGCAGGTGTGTGTATATGTGTGTGCAGGCGAAAAACACTCACCATGTGTCTATGAGCTTTGTGTGTGCGTGTCTCCGTAGCTCGTAGATCTGAATCCCCTACACCTGTCACAGAGGGTGGGGTGCAAAGGGAGGATGACAGGGCGCAGAACAGATGCTGTCTACAAAGCCAGCCAAACAGACTGAATTGCACAGTGTGTCTTCTGTATGTGTGTGTGTGTGTAGGCCGTATTACTTCAATGATTATGTGTGTGTGTATGCACGTTGAGATCAGAGCTTTCAAGTCGTTCATACTTTGATGCCGCGGCCCTGCGCCTGCCTTTCTTCGGCGCAGAACAAAAGAGTGGCAGAGGGAGTCAGCCAGACAGCAGTGTGACACCGTATGGCTGTGGAGATAGATGACACAGTGACAGACAGAGATAGCAGGAAGTGTGTGTTTGTCGCTCTTCGCTGCCTCATTTCTCCGGCTCTCTCTGTGTGTCTGTGGGAGGGAGTCTAAAGCTGACCAAGCCCAGAGCAGCCTCAGCTCACTCACCAGAAGAAATCTATTTCATCAGCCGCCTCTGACAGGTCTCTTTCCTGTCTAACACTATAGAAAAGTTTTCAAGGTTTAGGTAGTTGAGATCCCCTTCAGCATGCTGCATTTACAATGATCGGATGAGCTAAACCTTGCACTCTGTGGCCTTTTGCTGAGTTGTATGTCATGTTGGATTTACTGTACACATGAGCACTTCACTCTAGGCTCAAGGCAGTGACACTGCGAAGGAAATTGATCCTAGGACATCTCTAAAATATAAAGTTGGGATTTACATTACATATAAAATCAGATGTAACTCTGAAACTCCAAAATATTTCTCAATTTAAACATAAGGAAATTCAAGGTATTGCATTAACATTATGAAGTTGTTCAAGGTTCTTTATTGTCAATCTGACATAGCTACAGAGTAATTATGTAGTTGAAAATCTTATGTCACAGGCTTCTCCAACAATGCAACATAATAACATAATAACAATAAGAGCAAGAGCAATACAAAAAGAAAAATAGTTATAAAATAAAATAAAGTGATGATGTGGAATAGTGCAGTACGAGTCTATATACAAGTTATTGGAATGATATATATATATTAGGTATTAGATACATACTACTGAGTAGCAGATGAATGTTTGAAGTTGTTTCAACAGTTCAATTTTTTAACAGTCTCACTGCCCGCGGGAAGTTGTAGCAGTGATATGTGCATTCCTTTGCGTCACCAGATGTGAAGAATACTCCACTCGTGATTGACTCAGACACATTGCATTTCTTACCCATGCCTGTCATAGCTCTAGGGATGGCATTGCCGGTCGGTCGGCTGAAATACCTCGACAACTGTTGTAATTAATTGCCATGACATTTTTGCGTAGACCCTCATGGTCCCTGGTGGATGAATCCTCCTACTGTCATCTGAGTCACACCATAAAACGTATTGAATTAGCAATGCCTATGGTGTGGACAAGACACCTCTTAAAATGTGTGTGAAAGGAATGTGAGGAACTCCCTTTAACACTAGTGCGGGCAGTAATTAACCAAAAATGCACACAAAAGCCATTTTCTCCACACAACACACCTACAATGAAGACGACACCAAACCTCTTAAGAAACACTTACAAATAATTGTCCTAAGCGATACCTAAGATCGTGGAAATGTCTTCTTTTGTTACTAAATTGATTTGGTTGTAATATTAGTGAGGTAACACACACAAGTTTAATAACCCAAATGAATATATTGAAGAAATTAAGATTTCATTTGCATATATGGAAGGATTCAGAGTGGTGTGATGCATGTGTGGATGATTGAACGTGTGTGAGTGTGAGTGTTGTGACTATGTTAAACTCAAAGAATGTGGAGGAGATGTTAAGGCTGCCCACGGTGAGGGAGCTTATCCTGGGGGAGTAGCTCTATTGTGCCTCATGACACTCCCCCCTCTCAGGTGCTTTGACCACCCAAGCACCACCCCACCCCCTGATATTTCCTGTAGCGCCACCATGAGGTAGACATTTTTGTTTCCATGTAATATATCTCAACACCTGTTGGATTGATTGCTGTGAAACACGTTCAAGGGTCCCTGGAGGGAGCGACAGCTTTACGACTTTCATTATTTTCTTCTTTAGAACATCAAACCTGTCAACGCTTTCACTTTATAGGTTGAGGATGTGTCTCTCTGACTTTGGTCAAACTCTGACTTCTCTTCCATTATTAACATGACTTTTTTCCATTTTTCATTCAAATGTCTTTAACTATTTGATTTGCTGTGAAACGTGGTACACACATTCATGGTGCCCAGAGGATTCACTTCAACATCTTTGACCTCCTGACTTTTCTCAACAATCTACGAAACTCATGACTTTTTTTGCTAACTAGCAAATGCTTGCATGCTAACATGCTAAAGTGACATGGTAGGCATTGTATCTGCTACACATCAACATGATAGCATTATCTTTGTACGCATGTTGGCATCCTGAGAAGAAGGCCATAGCCTGTGTGTAGACCTTAAGCACATTGAGACTTAATAAAAGCTTCAGTTACACAGGAAAACCTTTCTGACTTCTCGCCCTCGTTCCTTCCTCTCTCACACCCAATCCCTGGCACTTTCTCCACCACTCCCTCCTAATCTAAACAACGCCTAAGACTCTCACTTCATCGCTCTAATGATCTTTCTCATTCAACATTCCTATTGTATGCCTGTGTTTCCCGCTCTTCCTGCTATCTACTTTCCCCTATTACCATGTATCCCTTAGTACCATTACTGCCCCCTTCCCCCAGCCTTCATTATCAGGCCTAAACCCCCTGAGCTTCTTTCCTATGTCTCATGCTTTCCCTTTGCTAAAAAAGCCCTAAGCCTTTCACAAATACCTGCACCTCTTTAGTCAAATCAAACATGTCATCTTATGAAGACAAAGACTTTCTGAAATATAATCAAAGGAATGCATTCAAGTCATGTTCCATACAGCAAGCAAATGATGAGTAGATTGCCAGTGTCATTAGTACATGTGATTAAGACGGGTATGTGTGCATTCATAGTGAATTAGTGCAGTTTAATAATGTATAGGATGTCTTTCTTTTGAAGTAAAGCAGGAAGCTGACACAATTGCTGCACATGTTGGAAATGTTTTCATGATTGTTTAATTGTATTAGGAAACATGGAAACATGCTTTGTAAGCAGGTCAGATGATCAGACTTTCAAACAAACCAACAGGCAGTACTGGATATTTGTACTGTACGTTATGCTACTCTATACTTCGAAACCAATACATCTCAAAGGCATTTATTTAAATTCATACTGTCGTAATATATTATCATCTTGTACAATTAAATGCATTGTTAAGATTTAACTTCATAACGGTTGATTAAGTCAAGTGCCATATTTATTTTTACGAGCTACACCATGACATTCTTTGTACAAAGCAATTACAGTAATCCAATAATACCACACAAAGAGGGGCTATTCTGATGCTTAATAAGCACTTTCTTTTTGCTGATAATATTTCTTAATTTGTACAACATTGCTAATG